TTCCAGAAAGTTCTGATTAGAGAGAGATGAGAAATAGAGACTTCGATATAATTTTCTGTTTTCTTTGTTCATTGGGCAGGCCTGGCTTTTTATACTGATTTGTTGTGTTGCTTTTTTTAAAATTTCCTTTCAGTTAATTGTGCTTCTTTCTTTTCATAAAGGAAATTTTTGCGAAGACATCTAGTCCATCAGTGAACTCAAGCTTGTTCCTTGCAAGGCTGTGGAATAGAGGTTTGGTATCTGTTGGCTTACGTAAGCCAAGTAGTGTTCGACGGCAAACAGCAAAACGGCCACAAAATCAGCGACTTGCAGATGTACCAATCAGCGTGTTTGAGATATACATGGCACAGGTAAACAAAACTGGTCCGGTGCGTAATTTTTCTTGTAGTTTGTTGTATTGCATTGCACTGAGAATGTGTACGAAAATTCCTTTAAGCTTTTCTCTTAATAAATTGTAGGTTTACATTTGGGATGCTGTAAAACAAACTAACAAACTCAACCTTATGTATGATTTTCATATATTCATAACTTCATCATTAAACTGAACCTTTGTAATGTAATCTTTTAATCGAGGAAAAAAATACCACCTATGTGTTGTTGCTTGATATGAACGCAGCTTTTTACCGTCATTTCGAAGTTTGCAACGATAGAGATAACCCCTATTAAATAAGGCATTCGGGTCGAGACAATTTATGTAATAGTTAGAATTGCAACTTCGCCCTTTTCCCTGTTTTCGAGTAAACCCAGGATGAGGACGAACCAGTATTTGGGCCGCGGGGACTGGGCCAATATTGTTCTACATGCATGTATGTTACATGTACAGTATGCATTTAACTAAAAGTAATTTACACTCAAGGAATAATCTATTTAAGGTTATAGCTTATAATTATGTTAATCAAATCTGTCTAACTTCCTTTTTTGCTTGGGAAACATTATTTTGCACAGAGAAAGCTGCCAGACGCGAAGCTGAATCACAGTGGATTACTACAAAGCTGTGGAACAAGGACTTGGCGGCAACCATGCGCTTGATCAGATCAAACGAACCTCAGAAGAAGGCTCGCAATCTCACAAATTGTAAGTACTTTGATGCACTCTCCTTCATAAGTTACGATCACTTTTCAACTCCTAATTCTAAAAAAAAAAATTAAAACTCTCCCAGCATATTTCGTCTTGGAAAATATGCATCAATCGATCATTTTGTGACGGACGAAACTGATTTGAACGTGACTGATCAATCTTTGTTTTGTTTGTTTGTTGCTTAATTACTATACGAAATTATTTTCGTTCATAGTTTAAAATGAGATACTTCCGAAAGTTGTTATATAACAGTGGAAATATTTCTGAGATAACAATTCTTATACGAAAATACGCGCATTAGATAAACCGGTCCGTGATTCTCGCAATCTGTTTCTTGACTTTTCTCGGTAAAATTAACTTCTGCAAGTCACAGACTTATTTTTACGAAAAAAAGGAAGTGAGTAGACCGCACAGTTTGTGAAGTAATTTTTTAAACCTGTTGTTGGTTTGTACTGTGTTTGTGTTTTATTGGTTGTGCATATTTGTTACAAATTTCTTATTATCGCTCAGATCTCTTTCTAGTCTATTTGACAAGAATTACAACCACAATGATTAATTGGACCTGGCAGGACACGTTTGATCTGACGACCACTATCCTGCTGACCGATTATTGATGCACGGCTTTGTACCTCGCCATTCCTCAGGCTCACAGTATAAATATCATCACCTGATTAATTCGAATGTTCATTCGAAAATGGAGGTAAGAGAACACATGATGAGTTTTTAATGTTTGCCGCAAAGTTGCCAAATTTCTACGTTCCCTTAAAGTAAAGGTCGCACTACACTATCGGTCAAATACCTGGAGACTTTATAAAGCTAAAGGATACGAGCCATGGTTGTTTGGGAGTTTCTGGACATGAATTTGTTTGTAAATGTGAACTTTTGTTTTTAAAATGGCAATGAAAAATTCAGTGCCAAATAGCAAATAATTTAGATTTCTTACATAAGTCCATATAGACTATGATAATGGCGCAATACTGCCTTTTTATGGCCCATATAAGGCTAGTTTTTTTGTGCAAGAAGAGTTTGCTAAGAAAATGAGTGAAGACCGCCATTGTTTCCGGCCACTGGTCCGTCTGTTAGTTTTTTTTAAACATTTATGTCTGCACTCTCTTTTTGTAGTTGCATATGTGATATGTAATCGCCAAACTAAAAACCAAACAAGACTAAAAAGACTACGAGTAGCCACCCATTTGTCTTCAGGGATAGTAGAGCGAGCGGAACACGAGCGCGCGTGAAAATCACCCCACGTGGGAAAGGCGAGACGCCTTTTCTCGCGTGGGGTGATTTTCACGCGCGCTCACGTTTCGCTCACTTTACTATCCCTGAAGACAAATGGGGGACTACTCGTAGTCTACGACTGAAACTACTAACCAACCAAAACTTCCGCGACATCAAGAAACACCCATTCAATTCTAGTCCTGATCGACACTCTTTTGAGCGAAATTGACTATACATGTGTACCAAGAGAGTAGAACGGGGCTATATTCTCTAGCTCTTGCTAGACCAAGAGAGTTAAAAAATAGAACAGAAAATGCGGTAACAATAAACAAGATGAAACAACGAATGTTGCAAAAAACTAAGATTTTAAAGACTTTGCGTTTCGTAATCTCGACTCTCTAAAGGAGAAGCGAAAATTTTGATGTCAAATCGCATTCTCTTTATCATATTGGATAAAATGCTGTACTGAACTGCACAGGAAGGGTAACACGATACACATTTTGATCTTTAAGGGTATCGACGGAGGTCATATTGATAGAACTGTGCTAAAATTATTCAAAGGGACACATAGTTGGTTCGACATTGTAGAATGCTCAAAACAGCCCCACCCAACCCCCCCACCCCCACCTTCCCCATTCTCACCAAACTGACCCAGGTTCAAAGAAAACTGTCCGTAATTAACGTTGGTTGTCCGTACAGTGGGGTTCTAGTGACATAAAATTTATTTTCCCTCAAAGGGCTACACTAGAATAACACTAAATCTAAATCTTTGTCGGGAAATGGGTTTGTTCACTCGTGCAAATGACGTAACAGTTGTTAAAGTATTTGCCCTTCACAGTTCCACCAGCTTGGTTCGTTACACCAAGAAGCTCTTCAGAACAAATAGCTGGCTCACATTGTGTTTCATGCTTTCCGAAAAAGGCATAGCAACAAAGTTTTCATCGATACCGATTCCTGCAAGGTTCTCTCCCAAGTCAACATGTAGTCGATACCACTATTTATCAGACACAGGTCCGAATGTTTTTTAAAGCTCACTCCTTATAGGCATTTGAACAACCACTACTTTTCAGAAACAGGTCTGAATCGAAACACTTGGGACCATATTCATATATGATAAACACGGATTTAGACGGTTTTAATACGCTGTCAAAAGTGATGAAACGTATTTTCTCATTAGCGTTAGGTTGGATTGATGTGAGATGCAGTACAAGAAGAAGTACAAGTAGACGCTGCAGTAACATGCTTAAGATCCTTTAGTTGGTTTCGTCAGTAAAAACTCTTTGCAATCTGCAGCGCCCTTCGTTTTTGTCGACACATGCGCTCTCCACATCAAGCTAAACCAAGCGACATTCATTTGAAAAAATTCAAGTTAAAATGTACCAGTTTTGTCTCTTAACAATTAATTACAAGTCTTTTAATTAACTGCAGACTCGCACTGTTTTAGTCACTGAAGACTACCGGTAGCTTTTATCCTCAACGTGATATTTCCACCTTCAACCTTAATCCACTGTTTGAACGGGTAAACTTCCGCATTAATTGTCTTCGGGATTTCCTTAATAAACAAAGGCTACGTATTTTGCATAGGCGGGAGATGTGCTAGGCTGTTTCAAAACAGCTTCTTAGTTTGCAAAGATCAAAGTATTGCTTTTAACTTTGTTCAGAAATTGTACAACGCAAATTTTTTGTATCTTGATGAAATGAGAAAGCGAACACATTCGGCAAAACCACTACCGCTTTTACCTACTAGCAATATGTCGAGTCTTGCCAAAACACAACGCACAACGACCATCAAAAGAAAGAAAAGATTGAGCCTTGGACAAAAATAAGAATCAAACAGAAAGCACTAAATCCTCTGGTTAAGTTCGTCTGCAAACAGCGCTGAAATCCTTGTTCAGGGCCCCACCTGTGTACCATGATTTGAGTACGCGCTATGATTGGCCAGTAACCTACTGAAAAAAGCCATTGCTAATTTGTCAATCACGTGGAAGAGAACTGAATCGAAACGCATTTCCGGTAATTCGTTCAGTCCGCTGAGGGCTCAGAACAAGGATCTCGGCTTTGCTTCACAGACGTTACTAACCGGATTAAGATTACGTCTGCGACGCAGGCTACATTATCTACTCCTATCTTTGATTTATATTGCGGTCTACTTAGGCTGTATGACCTTCATAAGTTTCAGGCATAAGAAAGCAATACTGATTATTAAAATGTAAGAATATGTTATGTAAGTAACGTATTACATATGTAAAAATAGAGCTATTATTTTTCATTGTTGTTAGTCTAACGATCATAGAGATACTTAATTCATATCCGAAAATCCAGCCGTACTAAATCTTCAGGAACTGTTCAGTGCTATTTTTACCAAATGTCCAGTAAGGGCTATGCTCAGCCAGTGACCGGTGGTACCTGGCGCCTTAATCTTGCTCTTGGGCATAAAAAATTTTTTTTCCTAAACATCATATTCTAGGCACCCTGAATTTCACAATCTTCACAGGCTCAAAGCACCGGGCCCTCTTCAATTTTCATATCACAGCCATCACAGGCATTCAGATAATGTGAAAGGAGCAAAGAAAAGTGTGCGCCGCTCCCCACGATCTGAACAACTACTGGAACAGGCTGAGGGAACAGCTTTGCCAGTAAGTTGTAAAACTTTCCAACAAACAGCAGATTATCAATGATTTGGTGTACCGTTGGTTCTATAATTAAGATGATACATCGGCATCTTTCAGTTCATCGATTATCTCCTGCATGGTTGGTCTCGGCCCAGGATCTCTATGCAGGCATCGCCGTACCAGGCCGCGAAACACACCGTTCGTTACAAGCACGACTTGTTCTTCACGCTTACTAGGATCTGGAAGTTCCCGGATGCACATTTCACAAAGAAGAACACCAAAGCTGTACACATCAACCTAAAAGCAATCATAATACATGACATTACTTATTAGTTGTGTACTGATTACAAAACGAGTTTACGTAACATGAGAGGGAGAATCTCGAGAATTCAAAATAGATGAATATCGATAAATGGATAAGAAAAGCCTAGAAAACAGAAGATCCTTAAAAGGCTTCATGGTACGTTCTTGGCTTAAATGTTTTGTTTCTAAAAATACTAATTAACTTTTGTTATCCCGTGACTGTTGTCTTTAGAGACAAAAAGGGATAAATTAAAGAATCCAATTACGTGGACCAAATCCATGAAGATAAAAGAGTGAAAAAAGTGCAGAACAAGGTACAAAGACTCCTGACAAAGATATAGTCATCTCATATGTATTGTTTATGGAGTGGACATCACTTATCACTTCTGCCACTGTTAGCCTTGCTGTACAGTTTTAGTAAGTAAACAGTCTTGAATATTCACTTAAACTTACCTTGACTGTTTGGTTTGGTGTAAGTGCTTCAGGTGCACTGTAAATCATAGCTCCAGGAGCCACTGTCATGGTCTGCTGTATAAAATTAGCAGTGCCGTAATCAGACACTTTGGCTCTCCATTGGTCATCCTGTCGCCATAGCAACACATTCGCACTGCTGACGTCACGGTGAATGATAGGCTCTGGTTTCCTTCGATGAAGGTAGTTCAGGGCACGTGCTACATCCAGAGAAATGACGGCTATTTCTGTCACGGAGAGTTGCCGCTGCTCCAACAAAGTGCGCAGACTTTTCTCCATCAGCTCGGTCACAAACAGAGGAGTTCCCTTATCTTTAGTAGCGCCGATGAACTGTAGTAAGTGAGGATGGCGGCATTTAGAAGCGATATTCATTTCTCTTTCAAACAGATTTATGTTATGAGGAGAAAGAATCAACTCATGGATCTGTTTCACTGCTACAGTACAGCCACAATACGTTCCCTCATTGACAATTCCCCATCCTCCCCTCCCAAGGTATTTCTCTGTGATTTGAATTTCGTCCCGGGGAATAACCCAGTCACGTGTTTCCTGGTTCCGCAATTGATTTATTGTTTCCTGTGCTGTTGAAAGACTTAACTGTAGTTCAGAAACTTGTCCTCGGCAATTGGTCAAATGCTGTCCTATCTCTCTTAGTTGCCGCTGCAACTCCACCAGCTGCCTCTGGGAATTTTCTTCACGTTGTTGAAACTCCGTCAGCTGCCTCTGAGAATTTTCTTCACGTTGTTGAAACTCCCTCAGCTGCCTTTGAGAATTTTTTTCTCTTTCCTGAAGCTCTCTCAACAACCGCTGCATATTTTGTTCACGTTGTTGAAACTCCATCAGTTGCCTTTGAGAATTTTTTTCTCGTTCCTGAAGGTCTCTCAATAGCCGCTGCATATTTTGTTCATGTTGCTCAATATCCGTTAGGTGGCTTTGAGAGTCCTGATACCGTTCTTTAACCACTCTGAGTTTCCTTTGTAAATCCTGCTCGCGTTGCTGCATCTCCCGTTTCTGTCTCTGGAAGTTTTCCTCACGTCGTTGAAAATCCTTCCACTGACTTTCTATTTCTGAGGTTCGCCTTGGCGAATTTGCTTTGCGTAGATTTTGGTTTTTTTCTAAAAAGATAATTCATGATAAAAAATAAAACAAGGCAATCATGAAAATCACCAAAGTAACATGGGCAACCCGATTAAGTGTCACTTAAAAAAGAAAAATTAAAAATTTTGACGTCAAAGAAAATTTTAAATGTACTGCGTTCCTCTCTTTAAACTGAGCGACACATAAGCTTAAGAGATACTGATGAAGAAGATGAAAATCAGAATTTCGTTTCGCTCCGATTGTCACTAAATAATTATGGTTTGCTTGTAAACTCACACAAAATATTGAAATGTGTGTCCAAGAATAGCCCCTTCTTTGAACGAGCTCTCATTTTTTCGTTCAGATGAACCTTAAATCAGTCGATTTGATATCAAAACGTTTCGACACGATCCAGTCCGAAATTGAAATCACGCCCGCATTTTTACTCTAACTGCTCATCCCATAGGACGTTGCATCTTTTACCGCACAGCGGAAACAGTTTTTACCAACTGCCAATCTTGAGAGACCTTCAGGAACGAGAAAAAAATTCTCAAAGGCAACTGATGGAGTTTCAACAACGTGAACAAAATATGCAGCGGTTGTTGAGAGAGCTTCAGGAAAGAGAAAAAAATTCCTAATTCCTAATTCTGTTTGTGACATGTCCCCTCCCCACTACTTTATCGGTCTTCCTCTCTCCTTTTCTCATCTATCTTTCCCTCCAAGATGATCTTTCCCAAGCCCTAATTTGTTTACATTGGCCAAAATACTTAAGCTTTTGTTTCTTTTAAAAAGGGTAACTTACGAGTTCAAAAAAACAATACAGTAAATCTGGAGTGCAAAGACATCCGTGATGAGTTTTTAGAAAACCTGAATTTTTCCATATAAATTTTCTGTAATTTTGATTCTGTGGAATTACAGAAAATGTATGGGAAAATCAAGCATCAAATATATGAATTCAGGAAGAATTAGCGGGCTTTGAATTCCAATACAAATCTTTGAATTTCCCTCCATCTTGCCCTGATTACCTATGATGCCGTGACTATGAGCGTGAACTCCTCTATACGAGCCCACATCGCTGAGGTCTGTCTTTTGTAACGTCATACTAGATTAAACTTTTGTAAGTGCATTTTCTGTTCTGCACGATTTGCCATTGCTATTAAATTTGCATTTGCATGTCAGCATTTGTGATTTGCTCTTTTAATAGTAATAAGCTTATGTGTTACATTAAGAGAACTATTTCAGTGAAAACTCTCCTAATATGTATAATAAACAGCTCACGTCTTAGAAAGTGCTTTGTACGGGATCATATTCACGAGTTGTTTGAGTCAAAAGCCCTCACTCGCTCGTATCTCGCTTGTTCGGGTTTTGACACAAACAGCTCGTGAATATAACCCCGTACAAAGCACTTTCTATGACGTAAACTACAGTTTTGATAAGAAAACTACTGAGGACGATTCACGATCTGAGGGGAAATTTTGGCGGCGGAACCGCCAACGCGCGAGAAAAATGAGGCGAGGAAGCAATTCGCATCAATCGATTTGTGAATTACAGACTAATGCAGTTGACTCAAAGGTTTCATTTAGTCTTAAATATGATCTGATTTTTTTTTACTCCAAATCACTAGAATAGGGGCCAGCCGGATATCATGCTCTTCTTTGTTGCTTTTAAGAAGATCAATGTTGTTCTAGTAGTCTACCCCTCTTGACACTGTTAACAGCGAACAATGTTTTGACGCGAAGATTCCCGGTTAAAAAAAAAATTTATAAGCGTTAATATTCTATCTTGTTACTGTATATGGATATTTCACTCATCAATTATAAATATTTAAGCCCAGCTGTCCACACAAATGTACGGGTTTAACCGTACGCTTCTCAATTCAAAAACACCAAACTAACTACTCTAGCCATAAGCTTGAGCTACCTGTTTTTATAAACCTTCGTAAATACAGTAAGTTTAACCCGTATTCGTCTTTTTATTTAAAGACTAAAACCAAAAAAAAAAGATCTGCCTGTTTCCATACATTTGTACAGAGGTTCAACCATGTACCTCTTGATTCCAAAACCAAAACTTAAACAAAATTTTGGAAATTACTTTCAACACTCTCACCTTTGATTGGGACGGGCATTTTTTCAATAAAAACCTGAAGCTCATTTGGATCAGCATCTTTTAGTTGAACAGTTTGTCCTTCGTGACCCCACCAGTCTTTTAGCTCTTTAATTGTAACTGTATCCTTGGTGACCTTCATTGTAGTTTCAGGCATAATTACAAACTGAAAAAAGTAAGGAGAGGTAGTATTGGATTACTTCCTTGAAATACGTACTGTATGTCGATTAATAGAGATAAATCAATACATTTAGAGGTCAAATAACTGCATATTACACCGATATCCGGCAGTATAATCGTCATCCGCGATCAAAGTTCACCTAAAGTGTTGCGCAAAGTACAGCACAGCACAGCTTCCTTAGCTTCCTTAGTTTCCTCAACAACATGGCTTAATCACAGTACAGAGTAACCGTTGAATGTTAATCGTTAACAAACATTGCGCAATTTTTACAAACCTCTATAAAAAGCGGACACTTGGGAAGGTCCCGAAGGTGTCCGCTCAATACGGGGGGGGGGGGGGTACTTGGCTAAATTTTTGCTGGGTATGTGCCGCTGGCCTCTCAGAGCCCCTACCCCATTATAGTCTATTCTGTGACCAATTATAGACCCCATCTTAGCCACTTTTGGGCAAATAATCACTGAATGAAGGGCACTTTTTTTTTGGAAACATTCTGGTACGTTTGCTAACCGTAAATATGAAGAACTGTCTTACCCCAAAAAATCCCAAAATGTGCCACCCCATTCGAGTAACTCTATTGAAATTTCGACCCCTCTATAGTCAGTCCAGTTGTGAAAATGCGACCCCATCCAGCGGCACATTCCTATTAGCCTCTTATAAGGAAGTAACCCTTCCCTCCCGGGGCTTACCTCCTCACGGAACTTTATGATAAAGTAACACAATCTTCCAAATTATAAATAGCAACCACATGATTTATACGATAACATAAGGCTGTTTTTATATTTCATAGCAACCTTATTTCCGTTTTTTTGTTAGCTGTTGTAATCTAACGGTCAATCGTTGATATTACCCGATGAGTGTGGTCATCTTTTGGCCACACGAAACAGAGCTGTAGTAATAAAACGATGCACTGCCTCTGAAGTCTTGAACCAGTTTATTATAATTGTATTGTTAAATTATATATTTAAAACTCTTTCACTCCCAGAGTCATGGATCTATAAAATTTAGTTCTAACTCTTGAGCCCCTGGACGAAACCCCTCTATCAGTACTATCACGATGGTACTATTTGTTTTCAGTATTGGACGAAATGAAATTTCGACTTCTCTGTTGATGACGTTTTGATTTTGCTGATTTTGTCAGTGCAATCTCGGAAGTGAAAGAGGAAAAACATCAATAACTCACATACCATCTCGTCATGCCCCGCTATCCTACTGGCATATAAAATGCGGCAATCGTTGAACATCGCACGAAACCAAAGTTGTAGCTCTCCTTCTCCATCCTTCTTACCACGCAATGAGACGGTACCAAGTACAACACAAAGCTGTGAATAGCCCAACTGACTGACCCAACTAAGCCAATCCATTTTGTTTATTGGAAGTGCACCTGATCGTCCCCAGGCTCTCATCCTACTGAAAATCGCAGCCGCCGCAAGGAAGGTATGGACTGGATTTGTGCGCTGAGGCGTTTTTCATTTTATTTCGTTCATTTGTTTTTATTTACCATTTTGTGAAAACTCAGACTAGATCAACAAAATGCACATTCAAAGTGACTTTTTTCCTGCATGTGTTTAAAATGCTTCGCGCTCGAGCAAAGTTTACATATTAGTTGACATAGCACCGCCTACTTTTTGTCGACACATGCGCTCTCCACATCAAGCTAAACCAAGCGACATTCATTTGAAAAAATTCAAGTTAAAATGTACCAGTTTTGTCTCTTAACAATTAATTACAAGTCTTTTAATTAACTGCAGACTCGCACTGTTTTAGTCACTGAAGACTACCGGTAGCTTTTATCCTCAACGTGATATTTCCACCTTCAACCTTAATCCACTGTTTGAACGGGTAAACTTCCGCATTAATTGTCTTCGGGATTTCCTTAATAAACAAAGGCTACGTATTTTGCATAGGCGGGAGATGTGCTAGGCTGTTTCAAAACAGCTTCTTAGTTTGCAAAGATCAAAGTATTGCTTTTAACTTTGTTCAGAAATTGTACAACGCAAATTTTTTGTATCTTGATGAAATGAGAAAGCGAACACATTCGGCAAAACCACTACCGCTTTTACCTACTAGCAATATGTCGAGTCTTGCCAAAACACAACGCACAACGACCATCAAAAGAAAGAAAAGATTGAGCCTTGGACAAAAATAAGAATCAAACAGAAAGCACTAAATCCTCTGGTTAAGTTCGTCTGCAAACAGCGCTGAAATCCTTGTTCAGGGCCCCACCTGTGTACCATGATTTGAGTACGCGCTATGATTGGCCAGTAACCTACTGAAAAAAGCCATTGCTAATTTGTCAATCACGTGGAAGAGAACTGAATCGAAACGCATTTCCGGTAATTCGTTCAGTCCGCTGAGGGCTCAGAACAAGGATCTCGGCTTTGCTTCACAGACGTTACTAACCGGATTAAGATTACGTCTGCGACGCAGGCTACATTATCTACTCCTATCTTTGATTTATATTGCGGTCTACTTAGGCTGTATGACCTTCATAAGTTTCAGGCATAAGAAAGCAATACTGATTATTAAAATGTAAGAATATGTTATGTAAGTAACGTATTACATATGTAAAAATAGAGCTATTATTTTTCATTGTTGTTAGTCTAACGATCATAGAGATACTTAATTCATATCCGAAAATCCAGCCGTACTAAATCTTCAGGAACTGTTCAGTGCTATTTTTACCAAATGTCCAGTAAGGGCTGTGCTCAGCCAGTGACCGGTGGTACCTGGCGCCTTAATCTTGCTCTTGGGCATAAAAAATTTTTTTTCCTAAACATCATATTCTAGGCACCCTGAATTTCACAATCTTCACAGGCTCAAAGCACCGGGCCCTCTTCAATTTTCATATCACAGCCATCACAGGCATTCAGATAATGTGAAAGGAGCAAAGAAAAGTGTGCGCCGCTCCCCACGATCTGAACAACTACTGGAACAGGCTGAGGGAACAGCTTTGCCAGTAAGTTGTAAAACTTTCCAACAAACAGCAGATTATCAATGATTTGGTGTACCGTTGGTTCTATAATTAAGATGATACATCGGCATCTTTCAGTTCATCGATTATCTCCTGCATGGTTGGTCTCGGCCCAGGATCTCTATGCAGGCATCGCCGTACCAGGCCGCGAAACACACCGTTCGTTACAAGCACGACTTGTTCTTCACGCTTACTAGGATCTGGAAGTTCCCGGATGCACATTTCACAAAGAAGAACACCAAAGCTGTACACATCAACCTAAAAGCAATCATAATACATGACATTACTTATTAGTTGTGTACTGATTACAAAAGGAGTTAAGGTAACACGAGAGGGAGGAACTCGAGAATTCAAAATAGATGATTATCGATAAATGGATAAGAAAAGCCTAGAAAAGAGAAGATTCTTAAAAGGCTTCATGGTACGTTATTGGCTTAAATGTTTTGTTTCTAAAAATACTAATTAACTTTTGCTATCCCGTGACTGTTGTCTTTAGAGACAAGAAGGGATGAATTAAAGAATCCAATTACGTGGACCAAATCCATGAAGAAGATATGTATAAAAGAGTGAAAAAAGTGCAGAACAAGGTACAAAGACTCCTCACAAAGATATAGTCATTTCATATGTATTGTTTATGGAGTGGACATCACTTATCACTTCTGCCACTGTTAGCCTTGCTGTACAGTTTTAGTAAGTAAACAGTCTTGAATATTTACTTAAACTTACCTTGACTGTTTGGTTTGATGTAAGTGCTTCAGGTGCACTGTAAATCATAGCTCCAGGAGCCACTGTCATGGTCTGCTGTATAAAATTAGCAGTACCGTAATCAGACACTTTGGCTCTCCATTGGTCACCCTGTCGCCATAGCAACACATTCGCACTGCTGACGTCACGGTGAATGATAGGCTCTGGTTTCTTTCGATGAAGGTAGTTCAGGGCACGTGCTACATCCAGAGAAATGACGGCTATTTCTGTCTCGGAGAGTTGCCGCTGCTCCAACAAAGTGCGTAGACTTTTCTCCATCAGCTCGGTCACAAACAGAGGAGTTCCCTCATCTTTCGTGGCGCCGATAAACTGTAGTAAGTGAGGATGGCGGCATTTAGAAGCGATATTCATTTCTCTTTCAAACAGATTTATGTTATGAGGAGAAAGAATCAACTCATGGATCTGCTTCACTGCTACAGTACAGCCACAATACGTTCCCTCATTGACAATTCCCCATCCTCCCCTCCCAAGGTATTTCTCTGTGATTTGAATTTCGTCGCGGGGAATAACCCAGTCACGTGTTTCCTGGTTCCGCAATTGATTTATTGTTTCCTGTGCTGTTGAAAGACTTAACTGTAGTTCAGAAACTTGTCCTCGGCAATTGGTCAAATGCTGTCCTATCTCTCTTAGTTGCCGCTGCAACTCCACCAGCTGCCTCTGGGAATTTTCTTCACGTTGTTGAAACTCCGTCAGCTGCCTCTGAGAATTTTCTTCACGTTGTTGAAACTCCCTCAGCTGCCTTTGAGAATTTTTTTCTCTTTCCTGAAGCTCTCTCAACAACCGCTGCATATTTTGTTCACGTTGTTGAAACTCCATCAGTTGCCTTTGAGAATTTTTTTCTCGTTCCTGAAGGTCTCTCAATAGCCGCTGCATATTTTGTTCATGTTGCTCAATATCCGTTAGGTGGCTTTGAGAGTCCTGATACCGTTCTTTAACCACTCTGAGTTTCCTTTGTAAATCCTGCTCGCGTTGCTGCATCTCCCGTTTCTGTCTCTGGAAGTTTTCCTCACGTCGTTGAAAATCCTTCCACTGACTTTCTATTTCTGAGGTTCGCCTTGGCGAATTTGCTTTGCGTAGATTTTGGTTTTTTTCTAAAAAGATAATTCATGATAAAAAATAAAACAAGGCAATCATGAAAATCACCAAAGTAACATGGGCAACCCGATTAAGTGTCACTTAAAAAAGAAAAATTAAAAATTTTGACGTCAAAGAAAATTTTAAATGTACTGCGTTCCTCTCTTTAAACTGAGCGACACATAAGCTTAAGAGATACTGATGAAGAAGATGAAAATCAGAATTTCGTTTCGCTCCGATTGTCACTAAATAATTATGGTTTGCTTGTAAACTCACACAAAATATTGAAATGTGTGTCCAAGAATAGCCCCTTCTTTGAACGAGCTCTCATTTTTTCGTTCAGATGAACCTTAAATCAGTCGATTTGATATCAAAACGTTTCGACACGATCCAGTCCGAAATTGAAATCACGCCCGCATTTTTACTCTAACTGCTCATCCCATAGGACGTTGCATCTTTTACCGCACAGCGGAAACAGTTTTTACCAACTGCCAATCTTGAGAGACCTTCAGGAACGAGAAAAAAATTCTCAAAGGCAACTGATGGAGTTTCAACAACGTGAACAAAATATGCAGCGGTTGTTGAGAGAGCTTCAGGAAAGAGAAAAAAATTCCTAATTCCTAATTCTGTTTGTGACATGTCCCCTCCCCACTACTTTATCGGTCTTCCTCTCTCCTTTTCTCATCTATCTTTCCCTCCAAGATGATCTTTCCCAAGCCCTAATTTGTTTACATTGGCCAAAATACTTAAGCTTTTGTTTCTTTTAAAAAGGGTAACTTACGAGTTCAAAAAAACAATACAGTAAATCTGGAGTGCAAAGACATCCGTGATGAGTTTTTAGAAAACCTGAATTTTTCCATATAAATTTTCTGTAATTTTGATTCTGTGGAATTACAGAAAATGTATGGGAAAATCAAGCATCAAATATATGAATTCAGGAAGAATTAGCGGGCTTTGAATTCCAATACAAATCTTTGAATTTCCCTCCATCTTGCCCTGATTACCTATGATGCCGTGACTATGAGCGTGAACTCCTCTATACGAGCCCACATCGCTGAGGTCTGTCTTTTGTAACGTCATACTAGATTAAACTTTTGTAAGTGCATTTTCTGTTCTGCACGATTTGCCATTGCTATTAAATTTGCATTTGCATGTCAGCATTTGTGATTTGCTCTTTTAATAGTAATAAGCTTATGTGTTACATTAAGAGAACTATTTCAGTGAAAACTCTCCTAATATGTATAATAAACAGCTCACGTCTTAGAAAGTGCTTTGTACGGGATCATATTCACGAGTTGTTTGAGTCAAAAGCCCTCACTCGCTCGTATCTCGCTTGTTCGGGTTTTGACACAAACAGCTCGTGAATATAACCCCGTACAAAGCACTTTCTATGACGTAAACTACAGTTTTGATAAGAAAACTACTGAGGACGATTCACGATCTGAGGGGAAATTTTGGCGGCGGAACCGCCAACGCGCGAGAAAAATGAGGCGAGGAAGCAATTCGCATCAATCGATTTGTGAATTACAGACTAATGCAGTTGACTCAAAGGTTTCATTTAGTCTTAAATATGATCTGATTTTTTTTTACTCCAAATCACTAGAATAGGGGCCAGCCGGATATCATGCTCTTCTTTGTTGCTTTTAAGAAGATCAATGTTGTTCTAGTAGTCTACCCCTCTTGACACTGTTAACAGCGAACAATGTTTTGACGCGAAGATTCCCGGTTAAAAAAAAAATTTATAAGCGTTAATATTCTATCTTGTTACTGTATATGGATATTTCACTCATCAATTATAAATATTTAAGCCCAGCTGTCCACACAAATGTACGGGTTTAACCGTACGCTTCTCAATTCAAAAACACCAAACTAACTACTCTAGCCATAAGCTTGAGCTACCTGTTTTTATAAACCTTCGTAAATACAGTAAGTTTAACCCGTATTCGTCTTTTTATTTAAAGACTAAAACCAAAAAAAAAAGATCTGCCTGTTTCCATACATTTGTACAGAGGTTCAACCATGTACCTCTTGATTCCAAAACCAAAACTTAAACAAAATTTTGGAAATTACTTTCAACACTCTCACCTTTGATTGGGACGGGCATTTTTTCAATAAAAACCTGAAGCTCATTTGGATCAGCATCTTTTAGTTGAACAGTTTGTCCTTCGTGACCCCACCAGTCTTTTAGCTCTTTAATTGTAACTGTATCCTTGGTGACCTTCATTGTAGTTTCAGGCATAATTACAAACTGAAAAAAGTAAGGAGAGGTAGTATTGGATTACTTCCTTGAAATACGTACTGTATGTCGATTAATAGAGATAAATCAATACATTTAGAGGTCAAATAACTGCATATTACACCGATATCCGGCAGTATAATCGTCATCCGCGATCAAAGTTCACCTAAAGTGTTGCGCAAAGTACAGCACAGCACAGCTTCCTTAGCTTCCTTAGTTTCCTCAACAACATGGCTTAATCACAGTACAGAGTAACCGTTGAATGTTAATCGTTAACAAACATTGCGCAATTTTTACAAACCTCTATAAAAAGCGGACACTTGGGAAGGTCCCGAAGGTGTCCGCTCAATACGGGGGGGGGGGGGGTACTTGGCTAAATTTTTGCTGGGTATGTGCCGCTGGCCTCTCAGAGCCCCTACCCCATTATAGTCTATTCTGTGACCAATTATAGACCCCATCTTAGCCACTTTTGGGCAAATAATCACTGAATGAAGGGCACTTTTTTTTTGGAAACATTCTGGTACGTTTGCTAACCGTAAATATGAAGAACTGTCTTACCCCAAAAAATCCCAAAATGTGCCACCCCATTCGAGTAACTCTATTGAAATTTCGACCCCTCTATAGTCAGTCCAGTTGTGAAAATGCGACCCCATCCAGCGGCACATTCCTATTAGCCTCTTATAAGGAAGTAACCCTTCCCTCCCGGGGCTTACCTCCTCACGGAACTTTATGATAAAGTAACACAATCTTCCAAATTATAAATAGCAACCACATGATTTATACGATAACATAAGGCTGTTTTTATATTTCATAGCAACCTTATTTCCGTTTTTTTGTTAGCTGTTGTAATCTAACGGTCAATCGTTGATATTACCCGATGAGTGTGGTCATCTTTTGGCCACACGAAACAGAGCTGTAGTAATAAAACGATGCACTGCCTCTGAAGTCTTGAACCAGTTTATTATAATTGTATTGTTAAATTATATATTTAAAACTCTTTCACTCCCAGAGTCATGGATCTATAAAATTTAGTTCTAACTCTTGAGCCCCTGGACGAAACCCCTCTATCAGTACTATCACGATGGTACTATTTGTTTTCAGTATTGGACGAAATGAAATTTCGACTTCTCTGTTGATGACGTTTTGATTTTGCTGATTTTGTCAGTGCAATCTCGGAAGTGAAAGAGGAAAAACATCAATAACTCACATACCATCTCGTCATGCCCCGCTATCCTACTGGCATATAAAATGCGGCAATCGTTGAACATCGCACGAAACCAAAGTTGTAGCTCTCCTTCTCCATCCTTCTTACCACGCAATGAGACGGTACCAAGTACAACACAAAGCTGTGAATAGCCCAACTGACTGACCCAACTAAGCCAATCCATTTTGTTTATTGGAAGTGCACCTGATCGTCCCCAGGCTCTCATCCTACTGAAAATCGCAGCCGCCGCAAGGAAGGTATGGACTGGATTTGTGCGCTGAGGCGTTTTTCATTTTATTTCGTTCATTTGTTTTCATTTACCATTTTGTGAAAACTCAGACTAGATCAACAAAATGCACATTCAAAGTGACTTTTTTCCTGCATGTGTTTAAAATGCTTCGCGCTCGAGCAAAGTTTACATATTAGTTGACATAGCACCGCCTACTCTGCATATTTCAAACACTGAGAACTTTTTAAAGTAAACTTTAAAACAAATTGGTCCAAGAAACGAGAAATGGGTTTATAGAAATCATACTCCAAAGAAATTCTGTGACTGAAAACCGATCAGTTACCAAAAACGCTACGCTGAACGCCTTGAGTGATGCCACAAACTACAATTTTACTCCGCTACGAGGTGATAACCATACATCCCCTTCCCTCTAATTATTTCAAGTTTTTTTCCTTTTGTCTTTTAAAACGTGCTTTTTTCTTGCTTATGTTGTCTATAATGATAAAGAGCTTGTGTGTTTCACGCCGGGTATTAATTTTTTTTTAATAATTTGAATATTTGTTAGTTTCCCTCAAAGTAGAATTACGCATAATACATATAAAAAGTCAATTTCACTTTAATACCAGCGGTTTCCCACCACTTATAAGGCCAGTCGATCTGCCGATCCACTTAAAACGACTCTTGACAGTTATAATAGAAAAAAAAACTTCATTGTAACAACGAAAGCGAGAATTTACCCACGGAGAAAAAGGTTAATGAAAATTGACCCTAACATCAATTTATTCAATACTTTAAAAGCCGGAAATTGCGATTCTGAGAATTTAGTTTTCCACATTTTTTCTACACAGGAGCATGTCCAGCGAAACCCCAAAAAAGACAAATAGGAATTAATTAGAATATGTTGATTTTCCTCCAGCTGAATGAACTGAAAAAAAGATTGCCATAATTATTGTGGTTAACATCTTTACTCTTAACGTATGGTGTTCTTTATTTTCAGTATTTAAAGAGTAGAATTTAACCAATTCAGTGGTTGTTTTAATTCTAAATTTTGCACTTTTGCAAAGCCAAGAAACCAAAATATCGAAACTTGTAAGAATTGTATCTTGTATCTAAAGAATTCTCTATTTTTTTTTTCAATATCATCACAAAACATTGTAAATTGTGTAAATTTTGTTTCTGGCCCTAAGGCCTCAACGAAAGAGTTGGATTGACTGTAGAACAATAAACTAAGGCAAGCCTGCGAATACACTGAGCCATCTCTCTAGTCGCCACACGCCACCAGAGACGTCTGCAATTTGGGTCCCAAAATTCATTACCGATGATGTAGATTTGTCCGGAATCTGGTCAACAAG